AAAAAATACTAGAGATTTACCTCAATTATGTCTTCAGGAAGCAAAAATATCGAGCATCCGAGTTTCCGTGCAATACTGATGATGTAGGTCGCGTTCATCTTTTTCTCCTCCTCTGCATAAATCGTGGATTTAAAAGCATGTAAAATGGTGTGCATTTTATTTCAAGCGTAGTAACATTCTTTCCTCAGGAATAAACTACTTTCAAAATATTGGAATATGCTTCATGAAAAGTAGTATTAAGTTCGGCTTCAGGTGATGATATGTCATTCTAATGATTTCTTTTATTCAACTGTTTTGAGTTAGCTAGCAGCAGCTCTTTCAAGTTTATAACTGCAAGTAAATTAAGGAACATACCACTTAACCCTTTTGTAACAAGACTCCAGTTGACAGATCTTGGTTGCACAGCACTGAGCAGCTCAAGGAAAAAGATCCCATCTGACAAACTCTTATCCTGCATAGCGTATCATAAATTGTTTTGATGATAAGATTCTTGTGGCAGCTAGAAGAGTAGCATGCAAGAACAAGTGATGCTGATAAAGTGTGCTAAGTGGGGTTTTATTCGAGTTATTTGGATTTTGACCAGTTTCATCATCAGTGAATGAACAATAAACTTAGACAGTGCATGAACTATGAGATTTGCATGTCCAAATGCAAGTTGTCCAAAATATCATACCCCTAAATGGTATGCATGAGCAATCGTGCATCTGTTATAAGAAAATCTTTCTGAATAAATAAATAATAATACCTTGAAACTGTCCATATGGCTCTGGCTCTGGTTCCCAGAGTTCCGGACCTTGCTGTTAGCCCACTCTAGAATGTCGGCGTCTTTAATTTCCTTCCCATGAGAATGTGTTCTTAACTGCTTCAATAACTGAAGCATGTTATACCTCATCAACTGCCATAGATAGGCTGGAAAACGGAAATCGGGTGAAAAATCATTTAGTCACATGAGAGTCTTGGCGCTTAAACGATTGAAGGGATATTAAAGTAGGAAACATACCTAGTATCAGTTTCTTGTTTCCTTGAACTATATCATTTCCAGCAATATTGACTAGGGAAAACTTCAACTGTTTCCCAATTTTGACTACTTGATTGCAGTTTTCTACTTTCCGGAATGGCATTTTGATGGGAGGTCGGGAGGCAATTTTCCAGTTGACGATCCCTGGGGACACCTTGTCTAGTGTCTCTAAGAGAATCCACCTGCAATCATGAAAAAAGTTTATTTACAATGGCATCAGTTAAGAAAGCCCCAACAAAAGATGGGATTGACAGCGACTTAATAAACTTTTCTGTGCAAAAAATTATAGCAACCGAAGCACAGTGGAAGTTACTCTTAGGAAAATCATTGCATGCAACATGAAATTCGACTCTTTTATTTTCATATAGTTATCATAGATCATGAAGAGTGAAATTTCTCTGTCAAATAGCTGCGGCACTCACCCATTTCTGAGATCTTCAAAGACATTGTCGATGTATGAAGAATTTCCCAGACTATTTAACCAAAAACGAAAAACTCTCTCTTCTCTGGACACCTGTGCATCATCTGGTAGAGTCTCGAGAAAAGATATCTGTTTTGTTTGGGTTGAGAGTCCATTCCTACGCATGAAACATATGATTAGCAAAAACACTATGCAACATCAGTTAACCAGAAGCAAAATTTGTGAAGTAGCAAAGTTATAAGTAGAAGCATCAAGAAATGCTCAAGAACAAGCGGTTATGAGGTATTGAGGTGCCATGATCATATTCGTTGTACTGATACAACCAATGAGCTTTACGCCATATAATTTTAGTACTGTACTTCGATAAAAAGATACAAGATACAGACACCGTTCCATCAGAATGTAAAATTTCTTTTGCAGCTGTAGGATGACCTAACTGGATAAGAATAGTACTTCACCTATTAATAACCAGATCATAAATACTTTTCAGTTTCAACTGATTTTATTATACACTCGATACACATTGTCGGTTCTAATTATCGGAGAAGTTGAAAGCAATAAATATGCTGAAACTTATAACGTCACCAATTTTTCTCACCTGTGCTGGAAGATATGTGCTACAAATGCAAGATTAAGGTTTGGGGAACCATCCACAATATCTTTGGCTGTTAAGTATCTTTTGCAGCCCATCTTATCAGCATGCTCGAGAACCAACTTTGCTCTTTCAAGGGGATCTTTTACTTTAAGAGTGGATGGATTACTATGTTCGGGAGCTAGAACATTCAATAGATGAGCATAAGCCTCAGCGTCCTACAGATAAAATTCTTATATGTCATTTAATAACACTGTCATCGATAAATGGGAGATACTGAAGATATGACCCAATATATTCTCAGCTTTGGATATAACCGAAAATGGAAGGGTGTTGTTTCAGTCCCTCTTAAGATTCAAGTAGTTATACATCCCCAAGTAACTAAAAAGTTCCCAAAAGCTACACCAATGAGTTTCAACTTTCAACCAAAACAAAACATGTCTATCTTTGATTATGGCTACATTCCAAATCTGATTAAATGTAAAAACGAAATAATCGAATAATTGATTATCTATGAACTGAGGAAAAATAGTATAGAAAAAGGAACAACATTGATGAAAACAAAAATGATCATAATCTGAAACTCGTCACTTTTTAAGTTTACCTTTACATCAGATGAGAAGTTTGTAACAATTTTACTGTACCCTCCTTTCCTCAATTGAAAATTCATCCACCTTAGTAGTATCTTCTCTGGTGGTAGGCTCATCAGCTCCTCCACATCCTGTATATCAAGAATTATGGTGATTACACCCAAAACATACATTTGGTTATCAGCAGAAAGACATATTTGTTTGATTTAAAATTGATAAACAATTACCTTGCTATCGTCAACCAGCTCCACCAACTGTGGTGTTTTCTTTAAGTTGAGGTCCGCCAACAGTTGTATCTGAGACAGCAATGATCCAGGATGTTAAACATTAGAGTATGGTAAATTATTGAAAGATTATAGACATACATTTCTTTAGGTCTACTATTTGAAAGATATTACAACTTGGTTTGGATTTTAAAAATAAATCATTGCAAATAGTCATTGTCGCATGCAATTGATCCTCACCTTGATAATCTGAGATATCACTCCAAGAACAAGGTGTCTCTGGACATAGGACAGAGAAAACAACAGTCAGCTTGTGATTCAAGGACTGGAGATCCACAGTTCCACACCATGATCATATTTATGCAAAAGAATAACACATAGAGATAGAGCAGTATATACAACCGACTAAGGAAACTCAACAATCGCATAAATTGATATTTTTAAGTGGAATCACCACAGTTCAACACAAAGAAAAATGAAAGAAAGAGAAAGCAACAGAAGAAAAAGAAAGAACAAAAGAAGAAAATAAAAAGAGACAGAGAGGAGCAAAATGCCTTAAACATTTGAAATATTAAGAACAATTTGTTAAACATGTCGTGAACATTTGAAATAGGCTGCAGCACTTAGTTTGAGTAGCTGAAAGCTAATTCTAAATTCAAAATAAGGAGCCTACAAGTAGCGCAATAGAATTTTACAAATGCTATGTTCTCTTGAGCTCCAAAAGAGAGAATGGAAGACATAATTAGGATATCCAAAACTTTAATATCGAACCCCGAAAACTGGTTTTCCAAAACATGCTTCTGGAAATTTAGAGCCATATTTCATAAAATTACCAGAAGCAACAAAATGGTTTGACTTCTGTGGCTATGTTACAAAATAGCGATACCATTAACCATTATCAAGTTTCAGTATTACAACTTTCAGCTTCTACTTAGGAATGATAATCTTTGATCCATATAGAAGTAGTCAAGCTATGGAAGATGTGGGAGCTTTTTGAAGCAAATACCAGGCTTTCAGAACAAAAGCATAGAGTAATAAAAGCTGTCAAGTTGAGAGAAATGAGAATACGAGCATTTTAAGCAATCCACCAGATCACACCATCATTTTCTAGTTATAAATTGAATAAGTCCATACCCTTCCTTCAATAAAGTCCTGAGTCCCTATATTGACAACTGTACATCCAATTGCCTTGGCAGAATTGAGGCACAACGTGTGATTCTCATTCCTCTCCCACGGATTGAGCATCCTCTTTGTATTTATAGCTCGTTCATCAATTGTTCCAGGTACAGCAACATTTATGAGTTTGCTGCAACCACACAATCATGAAACAAGTCATATTTGGTTCACCGAAATATAAGCAAATCATGACAGCAGGCAAGAAAAAGGATGATAACCAAATTAGAACTCCATCCTTGGCTATCTCAAAAAGATCATTTGTTGCAGGATCTATAGGAAGGTATTTCTTCAAGAATTCATCTTCTGCAAGATAGTTATTGATGTGCGAAACATATGATGCCTTCTCAGATTCGCTTATTGTGTGAAGCAGTGTGGAAGTAGGAGACTTCAAAAATGCGGATGCATTTTTCGTGCCACTTCCCCGCCGTTCAGTTGCAAGAGCTTGAAGTTTTAGATATACCTGTTACAAAATCATCAATATATTATTTTATTCATGTGAAAAGAAAACGAACCGTAAAGCATGTAGAAATCAACTGTATACGAACAAACTACTAGCTACTCAAGTAAAAGAAATAAATATAAATGAATGATGTGAAAACTGCTCAAAAATAAAAAAGGAAAAAGAAGTCGAGCACACACACAGGGTGAGGGAGAGAGGAGTATGATAAAAGAAAGCCCAATCAAGATGATAATGATAGAAGATGCTGTGTCCTCAGATTTGGCTAAAATCTTATCGAAAAGTTCAGAAGTGGAGCCAGGGATAACCCAATGTTCATACTATAACTGAATCCTAACACAAGCTCCTAGGGAATGGGTACACAGTGCATCATCCTGTTTTAAGAGAAAAAGAACAAATAGAAAATGGTATACTAAAAGATAAAATCTATTATTAGAGTCGTACAAATAATCAAAGAATCCTGGAGGTCAGCCACTCGGAACAGGGATCCCAATAAAGGCACTAACAGGAGAATCCTCAGGCCTGCTTGTTAATATCTCCGGACTAAGAAAATCGACCGAGCTGTTTTGATCCGGCAATTCCCAACATTGTTGCAGCATATCAAAATAACGGAGACTATTTATATTCAGCTTTTGGATCGTTCAGTTTCTTAAATTATTTCGAGAAATTCTTGATCAAATATCCAGATAATTCTCAAACCCAAATGACCTCATATCCCAAACGCATATACGTGCATATAAGGACTACGTACCCTCAGAAACAGCTCGAAATCGACATCCATTTCCAAATCCTGGTACGATTCCTGAAGAAACGCCGCTCTCTCTTGCTCCGTCAGATTCTCGCCGACGTGCTTCAGCCTCGACATCTTTTCCGGCAGCTCCGCCAGCTTCAATCCGCCACCGCCGCTCTCCCGCCTCATCGCCATGAACTGCGACCATCCGCACACATTTACCAACACGTCCACAGGACATCAACAACAATAAAACAACTCAAAAAGTAAAGAAAATCCGTAAAAACTCACAGAAGATTTCAAGGTCCTGAGCTCCACTTGCGTGAACTGATTCTGGAGCCATGGATCCGAAACCAGTACTCCGAAATAACCGGCCATGAGGATTTCGTTCAGCCCGTCGTCCTTGAGCTGATGAAACAGTTATCACAATCTCAGAGAGAGAGAGAAAAAAAAATCTCTGGATTGTAGAAAAAATCTAGAAAATTAAAGAGGTAAAGGTTTGCGGGGGAGACACTGGGGACGAGATAAGAGCTGTCAGTGGGTGAGTTTTGTTTTTCAAATTTTTTCAGAATTCAAAATATGACACTACTGTCCCTCTGTATGCCGCTGGGATGCATTATGAGATTGTACGGTTAAAAAGGAAAAACAATTAAAAAAAATAAAAAATGGGAGGAAATGGAATTAAATTATATTCATTTTTATTTCGTTGGATCATTTTTTTCATTATACATGTATTCAGTTATAATTTTTTTTTACAAAAAAAAAAAGAAATTACTCGTCATTCAATTCTATTTTTTTTCTTTTTAATCTTAAATCAGTATAATTAAAGAAATATATTTTAACAAAATTTATTATTTATCTACTCACATATTTTCAGCTAACAATCATTATTTTGCTATTATTATTCATATCAACTTTAATTATTATATTTTATCTTACATTCACAATCTTAAAAATATATAAAATATATCTCATCATACTGTAACAATCATCGTTAAAATTGGATAGTTTAAATAAATCCAACTCTACTTCATTTAATTTATTTATTTAATTTTTATTAATAATAATATTAATTGCAACATAATTAAAATACTAAATTGATCAATTGATAGTTATAGGCTAAACAATAAATACAGAGAAATATATGGTAAAAAGATTATTTTTAATTTAAATACTATAATAAAAATTTTGAGTGCGCAAAGATAATAAAATAAAATAAATTAATGATATATATTCAATTCTACCTAAAATTATTAGTCTAACTTGTTATATTTCTGGAACAGAATAAGATGGATTAGTGGTATATATTCAATACCCCAAAAGTTATTAATCTAACTTGTTAAATTTCTTGAACAAGATATGGATACTTATTTTTGAAATGTTATAACTTTAAAAATAAAATAAGTAATTGCTAAAGATATACTATTTTAATAAATAAAATTTAACATATAAAGCAAAGTGAAGAGCTAGTTAATTTTTTTTTTTAAAAAAAAAAATGATAACTATAAGGTGTTTTTGAATTGAATATGATTATTTTATAACAAGTGTAGTCAAATGATACCGGAATAAAAGAATGATTACCAACACCAACAAAATCCGAAGATTCAAATGTTCCATAACGGTCATTTTTTATAGCTGGGCTAGCGTAGTGTGTATGAGTGTTACTATTAATAAATAATGACAGGCACGTGGTTGGGGTTATTTGAGGAGATGATTGCCATAAAAGTGCTCATTATCTTTGGGGCCTCATTACATTGGACTACAATTATGAGGGAAAATACGCATTAAAGCAGCCGCCTATCAGTTTTATTTTGCACCAAATCGTATTTTTGTGTAATAATACAAAATATAGCTAAAGTATTAATAAATAATTTTTTTTAGGGGTCCCGCTACACCTTAAACTCTGTCATTCGTGAATTGTTGCTCCTCACGAGTCACAGCGTATAGTTTAGATTTACAGGTCCCTCCTAAACCTACCAATGTTATACATCACTTAACTATCGACCTTTTTTTGCTAAACTCAGTGGACTTTCCTATGCATACCGATGTTATACACCTTTCTTTTTTTTTTTTTTCCCAACCGATAGAAAATTCTCCATTAACAAAAAACTGATTACAACAAAAAGTCTGACACTTGAGAGCACCATCGCAGATGGGCTAGAACAACAACCAAGGAACCACAACCAACTACACCACATTAGAAGTAAAGCAGTTACCCTCAACTGAACCTTTACCTCTAAATCAAACCAAACCTAAGCCAACTCACAACCACTCCCAACACAAAAACATCAACAACAAACAACAACACACAACACACAAAACCACAGAAATACAACAACAACACACAAGAAAAACAGCACCAACAACAATCACACTAACCACACTAATACAATCTGCTACTCCAACCTAACCACAAGGAAAAGAAGAAATAAAAAACACTAACATCTACTGCCATGAATGAAAGCCTCCCAGTCTCTTGTAGCTGCTCTAACAACAAAGAATGGAGGCCTATGAACTTGCTCAAACACCCACAGGTTGCGAGACTTCCAAAGCCACCATAAAATATAGGTAGACAATTGGATTCGTGCTTCAGAAATCTCACCTTTATCCAGCTTGCAAATTTGCCACCACCAATGCTTGAATGACTCATTCTCCTTTGGTCCATCCCAGCAAACTTGAGCCATCTTCCAAACATCAACAGCATACCTGCACTGAAACAACACATGAACAGTGGACTCCCCTTCTTCTCCACAAAGACTGCAAATTGGATCCACTCCTATCCCTCTACTTCTCAGCTGAAGCTTAACAGGTAAAGAATCATTGCAGCACTTCCAAATAAAATGTTTGATCTTCCCCAATACATTAAGCCTCCAAGTTCTAGATCTAACCTTGACATCCTCCTGCACATCCCTACTACCTTGCATTGAGTTCTGTTTGAGGAATTTGTCAGCAACAAGCTTTGCATATGTGGATTGGACACTGAACCTCCCTTTCCTGTCTAATACCCATTTCCAGCAGTCTTCTTGACCAGGATTCAGAGATTTTATACTCAGCACAGAATCACAGAAATCAGAAGTAAATGTGGCTCGAACTCTGTCCTCATCCCACCCTCTTCCATCCTCATGCATGAGATCACTAACCCACTGAACACCCCGCTCTACACCAGGTAAAAGTTGTACTTCTTGGCCAACAAAGTCTGGAATCCAATGTTTATCCCAAATTCTGAGGCTTTTACCATTCTTGACCTCCATCCTCATCCAGTTCCCACAATCCTTTAAAACTGTAAGCCAACTATTCCACAGCCATGATGCATTCTGAGATTTCTGAGCATCAAAAATGGAGGAATTAGGAAAATATTTAGACTTCAGCACTTTACTTACCAGTCTTTCAGGCTCAGCAACCACCTTCCACAACTGTTTAGCAATCATAGCAGTATTGAAAAGCTGGATATCTTGAAATCCTAACCCTCCAAATTTTTTAGGCAATGTAATTTTGCTCCAGTCCACCCAATGCATTCCCCTCTGAAAATCAGCCCCTTTGCTCCACCAAAACTGACCACAAACAGCTGCAATTTCTTTACACAGCCCAACTGGAAGAACAAAACAAGACATAGCAAACACTGGTAATGCATTAATGACAGCTCTAATTAAGACCTCCTTTCCAGCTGTTGACAACCACTTGTTCTTCCAACTAAAAATTCTGCTCCTCACAACCTCCAAGATATACTGAAAAGCTTCCATTTTAGACTTACCAATCCCCAATGGTAATCCTAGATACCTGGTAGAAGTGTGTCTCTGAATTCCAGGCAATAACTCACAGATATCATTCTGAACAGCCACTGGAGTGTTTCTGCTGAAAAAAATAGAAGACTTCCCCAAACTGACTTGTTGCCCAGTAAAATTCTGAAATTGTTGAAGAATAAGGAGCAACTTCCTAATCTGAACCTCATTAGCCTTACAGAAAACCAATGTATCATCAGCAAACATCAAATGAGTAAGAGTAGGACTCCCTCTTGCTATCCTACCTCCTCTAAACCCACCCCTATCAGCTTCCAGAAGAATTCTAGCAGACAGTAATTCAGAAATAATCAAGAATAAGTAGGGAGATAAGGGATCCCCTTGCTTAATTCCCCTAGTAGCAGAAACAAACCCACAGCACTTGCCATTGATGTTAAAAGAGAAAGTAGGAAACTGAATACAAGCCAGCACCGATTTAACAAACTGCCTATGAAATCCCATTCTCACCATGGTTAACTGAACTGCTTTCCACTCAACACAATCATAAGCTTTCATAATATCAAGTTTAAGGCCTAAAAAGCAATTCTTCCCAGTCCTATGTCTGTTTAAAAAGTGGAAAACTTCATGACCAAGAATCACATTATCAATCAATTGCCTTCCAGGTAAGAATGCATTCTGATTTTCAGAGATACAAACATGCAAGCACTGCCTCAGCCTCATTCCCAAAATTTTTGCTATTACTTTATAAAAAACAGCACAGAGGCTAATAGGCCTAAATTGAGTAATAGAGACAGGATTGGAACATTTAGGAATAAATGTAATAAGAGAGTGTTTCCAGTACCTCAACATCTGTCCTGATTCAAAGAAGCTTTTAACTGCTGTACATATATCAGAGCTGAGGATAGGCCAAAAGTGCTGATAGAATAGCCCTGTCATGCCATCTTCACCAGGAGATTTATCAGGATGTATGCTGAACACTGCTTGCTTAATAGTGATTTCATCAACTGTAGCAATCAACATTTGATTCATCACCTCAGTGACAGTGGGTTGAATGCAAGGAAGTAGTGTCTGGCCATCTGAACAGCCTTTTGAAGAGAAAAGTTGATCATAAAAATCAGTGACTGTCTTCTCAATTGCCTTTGGATCCTGTGTCATGATCCCTTCAGATGTAATAAGCTTCTCAATAGAATTCAGTTTCCTCCTTTGAGCAGTGAAAGCATGAAAAAACTTCGAGTTTCTGTCTCCTTCCCTCAGCCACAAAGCCCTAGCCTTTTGTTGCCAAAACATCTCCTCAGAACAGTTAGCATCATCCAGTTCTTTCTTCATTCTCTCCCACACCTCCCAGTCTCTATCACCTCCTGCTGCTCTTATTTCTTCCAATTTAAGTGTAAGCTTGGCAATGTTTGGGCATTCCCTGTCCTGAAATACTTACTCCATCTCAACAAAGCCTCCCTAACCTTCTTAACTTTCTCCTTCACCCTAAACATAGGAGTGCCATCTACTACCCCCTCCCAGGCTTGCTTGATCACTTCTTGCACCCCTTCTTTCTTGACCCATCTCTTATCAAAAAGGAATCTCCTTTTATGTCTAACAGAACCCCCCTTTGAATCAATTACCAGCATAGTATGGTCAGAGGCACTCTTGAACCAACTATGAATTTTAGTATTGGGGAACATCACCTGCCACTCCAAAGATACAAAGGCCCTATCTAACATCTCCTCCACAAACCCTTCCCCCTCCCTATTATTAGCCCAAGTAAAATGAAGCCCTGTCATAGAAAGCTCCTGAACCCCCATATTAGCAAGAAACTCATTGAAACCCCAAAACCTACTCACAGGCCTACTCACCCCACCCCTTTTATC